TGGGGCTTGCAGCAGAGACATGGAGTCTTGCCAGCAAGAATCTGCAGCTAAGAGTCACCTAGCTTGAGTCCTGGTTTCCTGACAGTTCTGTGTTCAGGGAGAGAATCGTCGATAAGGGAGGCTGCAGTATTTATTTTCTTTTTCTTTAATCAGCAATCCTTACCCTTCTGGTAGGTGCTGTAATTTTCATTTCAGAAATTAATAATTATAATTGCTATTAAAACTTTGCACAGTGATCTGCTCTACATAAAGCACCACTGACAGGACAGCATTGAACTGCACAGCAAATTAATTCTTTGATTTTGCTCAAAGTGCATTTGTGTTTTTTTTTATATGAACATTGGGTTGTTACTGGGCTTTCCTCTGTCCCTGTTTCTTTTTCTTTGCAGATCTGGAATTGCTTTGAGCTGTTTTGATAAAATGCCTCAGTGACTACTCTGGTAGAGTTGCTTTGAATTTACATCGGTATAGTGCAGTTGCAAAATTTAATGAAATCAGCATTGCATGATTCACAAGGGAATGTAAAGAATGACATTCCTTACATTAAATAATAAATAATTAAATAATAGAAAACATGGTGGTAGGTCTATGGAGTGATGTTAGCACAAAGAATACTCTAGTGACAAAGACTGTCTTCCTCATAGAAGAAGGTGCTGTTGATAAGGGTTTTATCCTGGTTTGTTTTGGTTGTTTTTTCCCTTTTATTTTTCCCCTCTGAATTAAGCAATGAAATCCAGACTTCCCAGCTGTCCCAGTCAGTATACATATTACTCTGGGTAAATTAGATATTTAATGGGATGTTGTCTTGCTGGAAACTCAAATTATCTTAAGAAAGCATTAATTATTTGTTTAAGGCATTCTTGTAAGCAAGAGTGGAAGTCTCAGTCTAGCTGGCCTTCACATTCTTCTGTGTCTGTCTCATATTATACACCTTTACATGGCTCACCTTTACAGATCTCATGTATGTTCATTAATAAAGAAAAAACCATGTCTTTAGGCAGTGCCCAGCAGCATTTGAAGTTAAAACTGTTATAAAACAACCTGAAACTTTGGCAGAGTTTTGTTGATGGTCTTCTATAATTAATTCCTCTAAAACTGTAGAGACTGTGACAATTTAGACTTCTGTAGGTAATATACTTTTCATAGTTAATCTTGAAAAGTGCTGAAGGAATAAAAATAAGACTAAATATTCAAAGAGATTATTGCATGCTTGATCTGTATCCCTGCTTCCAACATCCCTTTGTTCAACTGTAGACGCTGCACTAGTTTAACTGGAGCCAGTTTAAGGAACCAGTTCACTCGGTAGCCTAGGTACTTGTGAGGGAATGGCATATGTCTGAACTTAGATCCATGGCATTAGTGGGCGTTTGCACCTTGCTGATGTCTTCTGGGCTAATAGATACACTGTGTTTAAGCTTACTGGAAGATCCATGTGCCTTGTTATCCTGGTTAGGCTGAACTGATAGAAAATCACATTTTGACTTAATCTGACACAATTTGTATGTAGGGAAGTGTCAGTTCACATCAGCATTCTAGAACTGGTAGATAGTTGACTTGTGTTTGTCTTACACTACCCATGCAGTAGGTATGCATTTATGATATGAAGGCAATTGTGAGCCTCAGTACTGAATCAAGAATGTGTTGCTCTGGTAGCATCTCTCCCTGAGAAAGCTGTCGATTTATGTTCTTTTAAGATGGAAGCTAGCCATGGTATTAATAGAGTTGGGTTTGAAACTTCATTAAAGGTGTTGCAGCTCCTCAAGTTAGAGCTTGTCTACTCATGCACTTTCTGAAGAATGCTGCTTCCAGAAGTACAGCAGATGTGGAATATGTTACCCTGCACAGACTTACAGGTACTTAGGCAACTCGTTCCATCCCAGTGCCCGGGAACCTTGTCTTCTCCATTTATTCTCACAGTAGAGTAAGGCTAAGGTAACAGTGCTGTTACACCTGGTTTATAGTCAGGCACACTCAAGACACAAAAACTAAAACATTCAGATAACCTAATTTCAAGCTGACAGGTCACAGGCTCAGAGACTCAGCTGAATTTCACTGTCTGACTTTAGTCCTTTAGGGTTGAGGATGTGCCATCCAAAGAGCCCAGATGTCTGTTGTGGAGCAGGGCTTGGAACCTGGCTTATCCAGATCCTAGATCAATGTCCTGTCACTAATTATACTGGCTGGAGCCTGTTACTGTCTTAGTCATTATAAAGAGCTGCCTTATTGCCCCATTGCTGCTGTTGCACGATGCCTGAGCATATATCCTTTAGCATGCTGTTGATGTGGGGGGAGAGTTGATGCAGGCAGACCCCAAAATATTTGCTGTCTCATGAAGTGAAATCGCTGTAAGGAGCTGAGCCTAACTCCTACCTCAGAGTTTTCAGACCCAAAGGATCCAGTAAGCTGTCTGGACTTCAGTCAGAAACATTTAAAAAGCTGATTGTAAAGGTATTTCTCTTTCTTTTACTTTAATTCCCTGTTCTGGCCTCACTGGTCACTATAAAGGGTCACCTCTGCCACTGAGAAGCCTTGTGTGTATTGCATATATCCAAAGGAAAAAGCTTGCAAGCAGTTCCTTGCAGAACAAAAGTCAATTACTGAGTCTTGACCTACAATGCCAAACTGAGGCCAGTAAGACAAGCACCATAATTAGCTTAACTTAAGAGATCAGTCTGGAAATAGCAACTGTCAGTATTTATATTCATTTAAATGGCTGTAAAGGCAGAACTGGAAGCAAGTTTCATCATTTGAACAATCTTGAAAACACTTATTTACTCTCTAGTAAAGGGAAAAAACTTGTGTTTCAGATCCGTACTAGAAGGTCTGGAGCCTGGCATGCAGAATATCTTAGGGTGTCTTCCACATTTGAGTTTGAGGTAGCAGGATATTGCAGCTACAGATTTCCTACTGCACCATATAAATTCTAGGGAGCGTTTGCCCAAATCCTTGGTCCAGTTTCTCATTGGAGCAACTTTAAAAATCTGTTCTGTTACCTTTTCATCAGTTGGCATCATGCCCACTTCAGGATGTCTAGATCTGAGAGGGAATTCTCCTCATAATAATTTAATTTGCTAGCACTTGTCCCTGTGTCTCTTATTTTCTTGCTTTCCTTCTCATTGCATGAGCTATGTGTTTCCTTGGTTACAAGTTAATAGTTAATAGTTCTGTTTGGAAGAACAGTAACTTGCACTCCAGAAAAGTATTGCACTGCAGACTGTTAGGTGAGGTTCACTCAAGGCAAGGTACTCACTGGCCTCTTATTTAAATGGAGCTGCTAATTGAAATGCTAGTTGGCATTGCCAACTGCATTCTGCTCACCAGTATGGGCTGAATAACTCCTCAAGGGAAATAGTTGAAATGAGGCTACCAGAGGAGGAGGTATTGAAAACTTGGAGCTTGAGTAGAAGAATTCAGCAATTTTCTTTGAAGATCCATGTGGCGGGGGTGGTGGTGGTAAGAACAGAATAGGAGCTGCTATATTAGTTTGGCTGGACTTACAGCAGAAATTATTGCTTGGAATATTTGTTGTCCCCTGTTCTTGATGTTGTTACTCCTCTAATCAAATACTAGGGGGTTTTATTATTAATTTTGTATTTATATAATGCAGAACGATAGCATTTCTTCACTAATGCATTTGTAAAGCAGAGTGATATAAAAGGACTTCATAAAGGAGTGGGGCTTTTGCCCTAGAAATTCATTGAAGAAAGGGAGGAAACTGGCACAGCAAATATGAGTTATGTCCCTGTTACATTGCTGCAAAAGTAGTAACCTGAAAAAAAAAAACCAAACATAATCCTGGCTAGGGAGATGTCAGGAACATATCAGGGAAGGAAAAGAGCTCCAGAAAATACTGGAATAAAACAATGAAGATGCTTCCCAGTGGGAGTGATGTAGGTGTATCAGCACTCAGTCCTTTGCAGGCTAAAGACAGAGGCGTGGGTAGAGAGGTATGTTTTCTCTGCTATGGTCTGATGAGCTTCTCTAGTTTGAGAACAATATTAAAAGGAGGACAACTTTCTACTACTAGAATGGGATGTAGGAGTGAGAGTTGAAGGAACATAGTTTTGTTTTGGGAACATTGTGGGTAATAGTTCCCACTTCAAATGATACAGTGGAGACTCAGTCTTGCTCAAGCTTACACCCATGCATTCCTGTTGGGGCCTCAAGCTGCCACGAGACACAGAACGAAGAGAAAGTTAAACATTTTTTACGGAATCCAAATGTGGAGCAATAAAACTTTTACTGTGGCAATGAATTACACAATAACTGTTCCAGTTCTTTCCAAGCTCTGCTCAGGGCTATGGGAGAGCTGATCAAGTGCCACCTGAATACCAGGAATTTTGTCTTCCCTGACTATACAGAAGATGCTTTGGTCATTTCTGTTTACTCATAGTGTCTCTAATTTGCATGCAGAAAGTAATTTCTGCTAGACTTATCGGGAGTAGAAACAAATAATGTTGGTTTCTTTTCATCTGTGCATTCCTCATGTTAGGTATGTGCTGTACCAAAATGGAGGTGTTTGTATTTAATATAGTAATTTGCATGCAAAGTCAGGCTGCCTAGTTCATCTGGTTTCCCAAAACACGATTTGGAATTGCTTTCCTTTCATTCTTTTTGCTTGGATCGTGTTCTTTCTTGGTTTAAAACAGCCTGGTTCTTGTTGCCTTGTGTGCCCATTGAATGGTTTACACACACTGTTGTTCTTGGAAAGAAGAGCTTAGGCATTCTGAAACACTCGGTGGCACTGAAACTACAAAGGGAGTCTCTCCTTGTCTTGCCATGGCAGCCTCAGTGGAAAAAAGTTGGTAGTTGATGTGAATGGCTCAAACTGCTGATTTATGAGAAGGCTGTATTTTTTTAACTGGTGCTGACTTTAAGTAAGTGTAAAACGTGAACAGATACATTTGTATCATGATGAAAAGTGCCTGAAAACACCGATTTATGTAGAGAGTAAAACATTCTTTTTTTCTGGGTTTAAATCATGTTTTGTTGTTTTACAGTGGCCCATCCTCAGGAGCCTCACCACCCCTCTGAGAAGCCGGTCATCCACTGCCATAAGTGTGGGGAGCCATGCAAAGGGGAAGTGCTCCGTGTTCAGGCCAGACACTTCCACATCAAATGCTTCACCTGCAAAGGTAGGACCTCAATTTGCATCTGTTAAACGTGTGTCATTTTTGCAAATGTGCCTTGAACCAGCAATGAGAGGTGATAGTTCCTGCAGTCAGCCAATTACAGGACATTCTCGTTGCTCAGCAGCAGAAGGATTTGTGGGTAGGGAGGTTGAGGAGTGGAGGTGAAATGGCTGAATCCCACGTGTGCAAGCAGCAAGGTCATCTGCACCACACAGAACAAACTCAATATGCAAACATCTACAATTTAGTTGAAAAGAAAGATTATATGACACGTTTGATTTTATTGGGAGGGGGGAGGGAACCAGTTTGCCACCACTAGAATACTCAAAATAGCACATTCTGCTCTGAATCCTTATGTGTTCATTCTTTTTCTGCTGTTCACTGTGTGCAGGCTACACCATAGATAATTATACCTAAACGAGATGAAAAAAAATCTTTGCTCTTTTAAATATTATTTTCAATTTTATTTTCTGGGTACAGTAGACAGTCAATTTCACCTATTTCCCAAATGGTGAATTAGGCCATAATTAGACCCTGGCTGCTTGGGTGACTTTTTTGTGTTTATTTGGGAAAACAATGGAACAGCACTAAACATAAATATTTGACTTTGTTTCAAATATAGTGTTGTGTGTATTTCCTGTTATTTCCATATATGGGGTGGGACTACCTTTAGATTGTAGTGTGATGGAGTGAAAAGAAGTATAGCATAAGAATACTTAAGAAAATTCTGTCTTTTCATAGTTTTTGTTCTAAGTGCTTTATCAAGGATTTGGATAAATCTGGATTTTGAAAAGCTGTTAATAGCAACCACTGTCTTTTAGGGATATGTGTAGCAGTTCTGGTGACACTGTAACCCTTGGAAAAAGCTGAGCTGGAGCTTTTAGTCTGAGTGGCCAAAATTTTTTTCTTTACTTTTCTTTACTTTTTTTTATTTGTGGTTGGGTTTTGCTAAGTTCAGGAAATAGCAGCTCATATGCTGCTTTTGTGCTTTGACTATTCTGTTGCAAGACTGGGTTTACTAGGATACTTATTTTTTTTCTGCCCACGGGCAATATCTACACTCATTGTGACTTCTGTTTATGGAGATATTTCCAAGCTGATGACAGTTTAATATTCTGTAATATTATTGACCTTAGGACTGCTTGCATGAAGATCACCAGAGAAAGGAGAGCTGTAGAAATACCTCTCTCTGATGGAAATGATACTACAGTTTTTATCATTAGCTTGTTAAGGAAACTTTGAGCTTGTGGAGAGTGACTGGTTCCATGTGCTCGCTTACTGCTTACGAGAGGGAGGTGACTGTGGCTTCTGCCTGTTTGTGGTATCTCCAACACCCCGTTTGGAACCAAGAGGGACAGTGCTGAATCTTAAGAAACATTTCTCTTGCTGTTCAATCAGTCTGTGCCTTGTTAGTTGGGTTTCACAGCGAGTGTCACCTTTTTTTTTCTTTTTTTCTTTTTTTTTTTCATTTGTCTTTCACTGAGAGAAAGGAAAGGGGTTGGGTGTGTCTGGGAGGCTGCTGCAAATCCTGTTTTGAATCTTACACCTGAGCTGCAGAGATTGTTTATTGTTGGCCTCTCATATGTAAGTGAATGCAGTTTTTGTTTAAACCATATAGTTATTTACTTATATTGCACATTGCTTGACCATATGGTTCATACAAATGGGACACAGCTGTTCAAGTAAGTGTTTTTTTTTCCTCTTAGTCTAATGGGTTTTTAATTTGACATGACTGTGACTCTACAGGAGGTGGAGTTAGACCCCCTCAGTTTATACAGCGTGTGGTTAGCTAGAGGAAACAACATCCCAACTGCATCTACAGGTGGCTTGGTTGTCTTCTTTCTGTATACCCGTTTCCTCTCAAGACCAGCTTGTACATCTACAGTGTGAAACACTTGGATAAGCTTGTACTTGTCTGACTGTTGTCATACCTGCTGAAAATGTTTAAGCTTTTACCCACAGACTTTGATAGGCTAGCAAAGATGTGGAAAAAATCAATTTCCTCATAAAGCTGTCACACTAGTTCTACAGTAGCAGGGTTTCAGTGTGATCCTGTTTTTCCTTTGCTCTGTATGAGATTTCCTTTTTTTTTTTTTTTTTTTTTTTATTACTATCCGAGCTCTCAACTTTGTGTTTGTGTTTCCCTCGTACTGCTGAGTGTATTTGATATGATCATGGTCCTGCTTGCCCAGGTTATGTCAGAGACACACAGGCACTCGGTGCTTGCTCGGCACACGTGCCAGTGGTGGTTGCTGCAGTGCAGGAACACGGTGACTTCAGCCTCCCTGCTGCATCAGCCCGCTCAGGACGTGCTCGTGTGCCATGTAACACGAGTTTGGTGCTCCATCCACCTCTGGAGTCTTTCTCAGAACAGAGGAGCTGCTTCCTGATGAAGATGACAAGTAAACCTCTGCTGAGTGACATGTTCCCATAGCCCCAGGCTAAGATGCAGCTCCTGTCACTCCCTGCCCTTCGAGAGCCGGGGCCTGTCCTCTGCCTGGCGAGGCTGGCTACTTCTATTTGTGGCTCCAGATAAGAGCTGCTAGAAAAGCAAAGAGCTGAAAATGGTGTGGCCTGTCCCCCAGAAGGTGAGCTCTGCCAGCCTCCCGATAGGCAAAGAATCCCAGGCAGCCAGCAGCTGACTCCCAGCTGGAGTTAACAGGGGGGTGATGGACAGGGGAGGGATAGGAGACCTTCAGGGGTGCAGCTCCAGGAGCACTGTTCAGAGCACTTGTCTTTGGCCAATTTGTAACAAAACCCCTTGCCTTGCTGAGGAATTAGGCTGTTGTGTGTTACAAATGCAAGTTTAATTGGATTCTGTGTTACCTCCAGTTGCAATAAATAAGTCTTAATTTCTATTTTAACAGGAGTGCACAACTCCAACCATACTAATTGTTAATGGTTACCAGGCAGTGGAAGGATCAGGCTGAGGGGAGGGAGCTTTGGATGAGGAGGTTAGAGGGAGAACAGACTGAGCTGGAGACCTCATTGTTTTACTCAGTGTGTTTAATAAGCATTAATATGAACATGAATGAATTAGGAGCTTAGAAAGAAGTAAAAAGTTTTTGTTGTAGGCATCTAGGTACATTAATAACTTTTCTGGAAAAACTAAGACTTTACTGCAATGTCTGCTATGTATGTAAATGTGTGTGGGATCAGGCCCCAAATTGCAATGTGCATGAGCAGAGATTTTAATATCTCAGTATAAATTGTGAGCTGATACAAATGATAATTTTCTGTCACTGTCAGTTGATTATAGTTCATTTTACCCTATTGCATGTACTAGCAGAGGAAACTTTGAGGCTAGCAAAATTGCTATAATAAGTCTTTATTATTAAGCCTGTGATTCATCTTCTGGGTTAGAGGGAAATGCTGGTTTCAGTACAGTGTGTTGCCTAACAGAACAAGCTGTAAGCTTTCAGAGTAACAATGTGAAAGTTTACATAGCTCCATTTTGGTGCATGTAGAAATTGGTAGCATTATCTTAACAAGATAATGTGGTATTTGTGGTAGGACTAATTCAAATAGTAGACAATGTCCCTTTTCTTGATGTCAAATATAAATTGGAAAACATAGTTAGCTTCCATATGGCAGCCTAAACTAAAAAAAAAAAAACAAAACATAAATTTCATAAATAAGCAATCCTGTCACTAGAATATGGATGGTCTCCTAAAGTTTTCTAGTCCTCACTATGGGGCATACATGCCTGTAATGGCATTAGGCTATGCCAGGTGGGGCTGAATGTCACTGTCATCAAAAGGCTGTGTCACTGTGTATGAATGTTTAACATGCTATAGTGATACCAGGTATGAAAAGGCCATTTTGAGCTGATATTCTTGCTAATTATAATTATCCTGGGCATACAGGAACCTTTCCACAAACCTAGAGTATCCCACAGAGAAGAAACTTTTAACTTGTATTAAAAGTTGTTATATATCAGCATAGAGCAGTATCTCAATTGTGGAACTAATGTGATAATTTTCTTCTTTTGAGTTAGATGTCTTTCAAGCTTATTTAGAAAAGCCCACATCAATATGTACTTCCAGAACCCTTTGCAGTATGTTTAGGTTCCAGACACAGATCTGTTTCTTTTATGTGATGAGTTTTGCAAGGCCAAATCATCTGCACTTCAATGGGCTTGACAGGGAAGGAGGGTTCCTAAGTTTAGATTTGGGGGTGCTCTGTAATCTTTGACTTTGAACTGGGTCTTCCTCCCTTGAAGGACTGGGAAGAAGCTAGGGTCATGTAAGCAGACACTGTATAAACAAGCTGGAATGTGTTTTAAATCATTAGTTCTTTGACCTTTGATCTGTCATCAGATTCCTTCAGTGGTGGCAGGAGGAGGCTGCAAGCTGGCTGCTGGGTAGTTAGTGCTATTAATAGTTCATGTCACTGGATGGGAAGTGTAAATATGAAGACGTTCTTGTAGTAGGTACCCAGTGCAGTGTTGGAAAAGATCTCTGCATTTCCACAAATACTTATGAAACAGAGACTGATCTGTGGACACAGTAATGTATGTGGTGGATAGAATGTGCTCCTTCTTGAACATGGAGAAATCATACAAAGTCCCTTGAAGCTCTAAATTAATGAACCAAAGAGCTTTCTTTATGTAAAAGAAAGGGGCATGTCTAGTCATTTAAATACAAATAGCTGAAAAATATGAGCCTGAAATGCTCTAACAGCAGAATATAAATTAAAAGGACAGAAATTTTACAGCATCCTGGTTTGGATGTTAGGCCTTTGGCAATAATGACTCAAGATCTTGAAGGATTAGAACTCCGCATCCTTTATCCATGGTAGAACGTCCCATGGAAGGGGATGAAGAAGAGTAAGTTGAGATTTTAAGGGTGAAAATGAAAGGTAAGTAGTTATTGCTGCTGAGATTAGTAAACAGATCAAGTGAGAAAGCAAAAAGGGGGGCACACTGTTACCTGTATGCACAGGGAGACCTAATGTGGGACAGCAAGAACACGTTGAAGGGCAGCAAAACAGTCTTCAAAAGA